ACCATACTCTTGAAGAAATCAGTCTTGAATCTGACCTAGGTATAAATGAGGGAATGATTTACGAAGCTAGATGCAAATTCGGGTTTCAAAAGCAGTTTTTCAAAAAGAAATCAATTGGAAAAACTCATAGATGAAATAAGATGGTTCTCTCGTGGAAGAAGAAGCGAAAGATGGCAAGCCAAACTTTCCAAAACTTCCACACGAAAGAGACAACGGCCAAATGAGAAATATCGTGGGTTATACAGACCAACGAATTCCTTAGGTCAGAAAACCCACTTGGCAACAGAGAGAGAGAAAGAAGAATAGGACAAAACAGTTTGTTATCCAGCTGGAAATCCTACAGAGTAAGGATGACTAGTCATCTGAGAAACGGATGACTAGTCATCATTTTATGAAGACTGTTTAATGTCATGATATGCAATGCACAATACCTTTGTCAACTTGCTTGATCCTCCATAGAGCAGAAGTTAGAGAAGAACACCATGAAAGGTTTTCCTTAATCTAAACTTGAGCTTGATAAATAACAATACACATCCTATTACAAAGTTGTCAAGGGAAGCCAAAAGATAACAAAAAACCATACATTAACAGTTATCATTTATCTTTATCAACGGCAGAGAAGATTTAATCAAATATAAAGGTTGGCGACATTTTGTTTGTGTGCAGGTAATTACCATAGACATGTCCTTGCTGGTCTCTTTTTGTGTGAAATGCTAAGTCATTAAGTTTGATTTAGTACAGTTTTTGTCCGCTAGTTTTACTTTTAGAGTGTTAGTTTGTTGCCCTTTTGGGATTGGTACCTTAGATGTCTTTGATTGTACTGTTGAAGTTTATCTAATGAAATTTATCTTTGATTAAAAAAATAAATAGTTAAATCTGAAATCGAATTTTAGTACCCTGATTTTGAAATCGATTTTCACCTTTTTACAAACTAAAAATTGAAATGAGTTATAAAACAAGTTTTTACTTTTCAATTTTTGAAGAAAATGAAAATCAAATTATTATCAAACAATCCCTAAAGAAAGCCCAAAAGGCCCCAAAAGACCAAAAGCCCTCCCACATGAAAAGCATGGATCTTGAGTTTTTCACTTTGGATATTCAGAAAGGAAAAACTTGGCTTCTTATATTTAAGGAGTCATTGCTTCATGCAGATAAATTAGTCTGTTATGTGTTTCTTTTTGTAATTTTAATAAGTTATTTGTTCATAAAAAAGAGGAGTATTTGTGAATATGTACCAGATAGTAATTTGTTCGTATGGAGGAATGACTTACAAGGAGCTAAGCAGTGTCCATTGATATATCATCCAAGCCGTTGTGCATTGATTGAATGAAGAGGATTTCACTAATAAATTCATTTTAGCATGACATAATATACAAAAGCCCTTATAAAGCCTATTTGGAGTGAAAAAACCAAGATTGGAAGCTAGTTCAGTTACCAAAGGACAAGAAAGCTATTGTGTGCAAATGAGTTTATGCCAAGAATATGAAATCTTTGGAAAAAGGCAATGTGCTTAAGATTGATTAGTCCATGGTTACTTATCATTTTGTACCATCCTAACTTAGCTTTTGATTATGGTTATAGATGAAACTTGTGCTTTTAACCTTTTTTTTTATTTTTTTTTATTTTTATGTCTTAGTTTCATTGTGTTAAGCTTTAGGACTCATTTAATGCATTTTGGAGTCAAGATAGCCCAAAAATGTCTCTGCAGATCAGTCAACTTCATGGATTGAGTTATAAGTACTCATGAAGAACCAGCTAGTGATGTGGAAGTGTAGTTTCTGGAGCATTTTACAATTCATGATTCCGAGTTCGGTAGAAGAAGATAAGACAATTTTGGTGAGAGATGTTCATTTCAAAAATTATACTTGGAAATTGCCATGTCACCATTGCCATATCATAATGCCATGGCATCTTTAAGTCCAAGTCAGTAGCCACACATGGGGGCTGATATCAAGCACAGATGGGAGACTAATTAGGCTTGGGAAATCACAAAGATGTTCAGAAGTCAAGCATTGGAAGACCGAACCAAATGGTAACCCAGCATTTATTGGACAATTAGAGCAGTTGGTATTTAATGGGGTAGCTGGGTAGCTGAAAGAGGTAGTGCTTCACAAGCCAAGGGGGAGAACGAAATTGAAGACTTAAACACTCTATAAAATAGGGCAGCAGCTGAAGAGAAGGGCAACTTTTCACACTCCAACAACCTGATACACTACCCAGCAATCACCCCAAAACTCTAAACACTCCAAATCACCAAAACAGTCTGAAGAAGCCTCTCTGCCATTTTCATACGAATTCCTCCTTTCTCAACCATCACTAGTCACCCAAATTCATTCCAAATCATCTCCTTAACTTTATACATCCTTCTAGATGTGGAGAATCTCTTGGAGAAGGCACTAGACATCACAAGAACTTCATAAAAAGGGTTTTTCTACTCTGATTGTATTAATTATGTTTTATCATTTATGTACGTTATTTTGACATTATGAATAGCTAAATTCATACTTAGGGTTTCGATGTAACCTAACATGAATATTCTGGATTTATAATTTTAAAGTTTCAAGTTTGATTCAAGATTCATGCTCTTATTCATTATGCCTATATGCTGGTCTGAATGTCTAGCTACCATTGAGATTTGTGTATTTTGGTGGAGATTAATGTAGAAACCATATGCTTTTGTTTCAATTGAACTATGAATAAGATGAGTATGTGTGGATAACTGCCAATAAGGCTTGGTTGTTTAAAACATTCTTCTATGCTTAATGAATTTATAATGCTTGATTTAAATTCGATAATAGGGACTTAATTAGGGAATTGAGAATACAAGATTAAAGCCAAATATCATGGTTTAACCATATCTTAGAAAGAATCAATATGTGAATATGAATTAGACTTGTCACTTGAATCCTTATAACCTAATATTGGATTATTATGGTGAATTGAATGCTCTAGTCTCAAAATCTGTTTTCCAACCCTTAAGACCGCTCTTTGATACACCTATATACTTTGTTTGTGTTGCAAGTTCGTTTTTCTTAACTATCATTCAAAATCAATCTCGTTTTCAATTCTTTTTTATAGTCTTAACTTCCTGTTTTCTTGAATTGGGTAATCTAAGTACGTAACTAAGTTTAACTTCTCAATCCTCATGGGTACAGCCTCATACTTGTCTTGCTATACTATCTAATTGGCATGTACACTTACGAGTTATCAAAGATTCAAAGTTAGATTGGTAGCTAAACGTTATGCTCAAAAGGGAGATTGAAAAATTGAAGACTCAAATTGAGTGATGAATTTGAGATGAAGGATTTGGGAGAAGTTGCTCGGTATGGAACTTGAAAGAGAAAAAGCAAAAAGCAAGATTATTCTATGTCATAAGATAAATAAAAACCAGTTAGTACACCTCTTGCCTCTCATTTCAAACTTAGTTTTTCATTGTCTTCTAGCATTGATGATGAGAGTCGTTACATGACTCAAATTCCATATGCGAGTGTTGTTGGTAGTTTGATGTACACCATGGGTTGTACTACGCATGATATTCATAAGCTGTTAGTATTGTGAGTAGATATATGTACAATCCTAGAAAAGGATATTGGTAGGTTGCGAAATCGATTCTACGGTATATTCTAGGTAATGTGGATATAGGTTTATTGTTTCAGCCAGATAATGATATTGGTCAATGTGGACTGATTACGTAGGTGATTTGGACAAGCGTAAGTCCACAACTGATTTTGTACTCACTCTTGTTGAAGGATCAGTGAGTTGGAAGTCAACTTTGCAATCTACAGTTGCTTTATCCACTACATGGCGGCAGCAAAGGTTATTAATGAAGCTATTTGGTTTCAAGGGTTGCTTGATGACTTGGGGGTTCTACAGGACCATGTGGGCGTTCATTGTGACAACCAGAGTGCTATTCATTTAGCAAAGAATCAAGTTCGTCATCATGTACGGATGAAACACATTTATATGACGTTCCATTTTGTTTGTGAGATTGTTAATGAAGGATTTATTATTCTTCAGAAAATTGGGACAAATGATAATGTTGCAGATACGTTGACGAAGTCAGTTAGTTTACTCAAGTTTAAGCAGCTTAAACTTGATTGGTGATTGAGAGACGACAGTTAGGAGTAATGTTTCGAATGCTTGGTACAATTTGATCCAAGATGGAGATTGTTAATTGTTGTCTCAAATTGGGCTGTGAAAGTTTCTGGAAATTTGGTCTCATGACAAATTGGGCCTCAAGTTTTTGGAGATATCGTCTCAAGACAAAGTGGATAGAAACTTTGGCCCTCGTGTGTGACCTTTTAGTTGGCCACGTGACTTGGTGTCTTGGACTGTTATCAGCCATTGAACTTGGCTTATTGAAGAAGCCACTTGAGTAATATGATGGCCAAGAATTAATCGCTTGTTGGGCACACTCTACTGTAGTGAGGGAACCCGAGGTGAGGATTTGAAGAGTCTCCTTTTTGTATTGGTTGGCATCATTGGAATTGAGATTTAGAGTTTCTTGCGTGATAAACAGTTTTTATGCTCTCTTTTGATGATAGTGAATTGCTTTGTCATCTCCAAACTGGACATATGCCTACAAAGCCGAACCAGCATAAATCTTGGTGTTCTGGTTGTTGTTTGTTTTGCTTTCTTTGTCTTAGCTTATTCTTGTTTGCTTACACTCACTATCTAGCACGTGTTTGATTGACGCTTCTGCACAAAAAGGACAATGATGATGAATATAATAAAACATCGCAATCAGGTAAAATTAGGCTATTTGTTTTTATTATTACAGGAAATCAATGGCAGATCTAGCAAGCACTTTTTGAGGAAGTACAATAAAAAATTTGAATTTTTAACAAAAAATTCGACGTTCTTCCACTAGCTACAGTTAAATAAATAAATAAATTGCATCTTTTAGTATGATGACTATAAGTAAATAAATTTCTTTGTAGTTTCCTATTTATTATTCTTAAAGTTTAACACTACACATACATGACAACAAAAGTAGAGACTATTGTCAAAACCACATTCATGGTGGCCAAAGCATTCCTTTTATTAACTTAGAATTGAAAATTACATTCATGACTTAGCTATACGTACATGAAACATACATAAAACAGAGACTTTCTCTTAGAGCCAATGGCTTTTTTTATTAGTACATAGAAGCTTAGAAGCTATGTACAAGCCCGGCAAGCTTATTATATTTTACAATAACACCGCAGGATTGCAATAATTCAACCTCTTAGTCATTGTAAACCGAAAGATTTGGCCTTGGCTCAAAATCTTCCTCAAAAGGCTGCTTATCTTCTTTGGCTGCAAATGACTGCTTAGCTTTGGGACCAGCATTGTCTTTGGAAGAGAGCTTCGCTTTAGTTTCATGATCATTGTAGGATGTGGTACTGGGTCTGGGTTCAAATTCCTCAACCTCCACCTCAACCTCAACAAAAGGTTTTTTCACTTTTTCGTGGCAGTTGGCTTTCTCTTTTGCTGTTGAATCAGAAATATCAACAAGGAGGCCTTCAATTGCCTGTGGCATAGGTTGCTCTTTCATGACATTTTTCCAGTATTTCCCGACATCTCTTCTTGAATCTATAGTTTTGGCAAACTGTTCCACAAGACAAAGAAAAGAAAAGCAAATAAAAAGTTATAGAAATTTCTAAGGCATTCTAAATGATCATATATATATATATATATATATATATCATGTTGAAATCTATATTGTGTTAATTTAGACCACATATTTGACAAAAAATTCACTTCAAATTGACAAATTGACAATATAATATGACATACGAAGAGAACTGTTTTCTTTATGTTGTTAGAATGTGAATATAAAACCATTAATCATGTTAATTATTGCTAGAATATGCGGTCTAATTTATAATATGACAACATAAGTTAGAGTCTAATGAGAGATTATTTTCATGCAAGCATAATATAAGATTTTTGGTTGCATTTGTCTTGTCAGTCCTATATATCTAGCAACTTCTTCGCTTAAAAAATGGGTGACTTCATAAGCAACAATAGGGAGGAGTGTATTATACAAATACTTACCAAAAGAAGAGAGAAAAGAGCTAAGATAGCACAAAGGGACTTCATGTCTACAAATGCTATGCAAAAGAGTTCTTTGTAGTTGTCTTTTTGAAGGATATGCAACCTCACTACTTATAGATAATTTACTACAACGAAAGCATCAAGGCAGGCAGGACCTATGGGCCCCATATATATATATATATATATATATTGAAATTTTGATAATCATACTTGGAACAAATCTGGGCGGGATTTAATTATGGGCCCTAGATCTTTGGAAGGTTTCTAAATAGATATGTTTTTCTATGTATGATGTATCCATGTTTGTGTGTTATTTTATTTATTTATAATGCAAACCGATATTAGGATAGGAGGGAATTCAATTTACGATCTTAAATGTAGAAGTAAATACTCTTAATCAGGGGCGGAGCTAGAATTGTAAGGTTAGAGGGGCAAAGTAAAAAATACAAGTATATAAAACACCTAAGTATTCAATAGTTACATGTTTAGAGTTAAAGTTTCTAATTTAGTCATGCCTAATTTGTTTTAGACGAAATTTTAATTTAAATTATAAGTTTTTTTTAATTATAAGTTACTTATTACAAATTCTATATGTTATATAATATAATAGAGGAGAGATCAAATCTAGGGCAGCCACGACCACTTCAGGCCTAAAAATAACTCCACCACAGTTCTTAACCACTATATCATCACTTGACATATGTTCTTGGGCTCCAATAATTAGATCAACGAGGCTTTACCAGATAACTTGGAATATATTATTCTCGACTGATTCTTAATGGCATTAATCCAAAAACATCCACTTCAACGTCCACATAGTTTTACCATAAAAAAATGTAAACATGTTTAACACATGCATGCATCTACTTGTAAATAATTTCTTGTTCTTTTTGGACGTCTAATAATGCAATAAGCATTTTATATGTGACAAGTGAAAACTAAGTTGCATGATTATGGACATATATTCTTTATGAGTCATTGTTGACAAAGGATTTGATAATCGGAAATGCCTATCTTTTAATCGTTCTTTAAAACTGAAATTAGAATCAATGAAAAAATCATAATTGAAATTTTAGGATGGAATCTCTTTTTCTACTAAAACTGTAACAAATTTTAGGACGGTTCAACCATAATACAAAAAAAAATCAGTTATGAATGACCCCAACCCGTCATTATTATATGTGCTGTTTGATTTATTTCCTAAATCATAAGCAAATGAGAAATTATAACCCAAAAAACCTCAAATGAAAATATGATGGTTGGATCATCCAAAAATTTGTTACAGTTTTTTGCTTTTTCAGAAAATTAGCGATAATTATATTAATATTTGGGCACAAAGACCAAATACCTATAAAAGGTCATTACAAATATGGATGTATAATAACCGCAAAGGGTTAATCAAATATAGGAGGATACACCGGTGATATTGCACGGCTTGTATGTCTACTAATAGCCCTAAAAAAACCAAATACATTTTAACATAACAATCACACGCCCGAATAAATCAAACATGAAATGCATCACCCAAAATTATAAATACAACTACAATTTTATATCTATGAGCTCAAGTAAAGATCGTCCACTAATATTTCACAGTTTGATTATTATACTTAGAAGAAATCAGGGGCGTATCTAAATATGGGCCTTAGATTTTTGGAAGATTTCTAAAATAGATATGATTTTTTCTATTAATAAATCTCACACGTACGGTACTGTGCATGTGATATGACTGTTTATGTTCTGGGGCTCCAATAATTTTCTGATAATAATTAGGAAGATGACCCTCTATTTATTCTTAATGGCAATAATCCAAAACTATCCACTTCAATGTCCACATATACCAACAAAAATGTTCATATGTTTCACACATGCATGGGCCTTTACTTGTAAATAATTTCTTGTTTCTTTTGGGACCTCCAATAATGCAATAAAATAAGCATTCCATATTTGACAGTGACTTTCATTGTGATTAGCATCGGGCAAGATCCTTTGAGGGTCATTGTTGCCAAAGGATTTGGTCTGTTTATCCAATCATAACTCTTATAACCCTCTATCTTTTAGGCCACCATTAAAACTCTAAAAATATAAACGAAAACGAAAATTGTTTAGTCATCCAATTGCTACAAATACATGACAACAAAAGTAGGGACTATTGCCAAAACCACATTCATGATGGCCAAAGCATTCCTTTTATTAACTTAGAATTGAAAATTACATTCATGACCTAGCTACGTACATAAAACAGACATAAAACAGAGACTTTCTCTTAGAGCCAATGGCTTTTTTTTAGTACATAGAAGCTTAGAAGCTACATGCAAGCCCGGCAAGCTTATTATATTTTACAATAACACCACCAGAATTGCAATAATTCAACCTCTTAGTCATTGTAAACCGAAACATTTGGCCTTGGCTCAAAATCTTCCTCAAAAGGCTGCTTATCTTCTTTGGCTGCAAATGACTGCTTAGCTTTGGGACCAGCATTGTCTTTGGAAGAGAGCTCTGCTTTAGTTTCATCATCATTGTAGGATGAGACATTGGGTCTGGGTTCAAATTCCTCAACCTCCACCTCAACCTCAACAAAAGGTTTTTTCACTTTTTCATGGCAGTCGGCTTTCACTTTTGGTGTTGAATCAGAAATATCAACAAGGAGGCCTTCAATTGCCTGTGGCATAGGTTGCTCTTTCACAACATTTTTCCAGTCTTTCCCGACATCTCTTCTTGACTCTATAGTTTTGGCAAACTGTTCCACAAGACAAAGAAAATAAAAATAAATTTATAAGGCTTGCTAAATGATCATGTTGAAATCTATACGGTCAATTCAGATCACATATTTGACAAAATTCACTTCAAATTGACAAATTGACAATATAATATGACATACAAAGAGAAATGTTCTCTTACCCTGTGTGGCAATATAAGATATTTATGTTGCTAGAATGTGAATATAAACCATTAATCAAGTTGATTATGTCTAAAATGTGCGGTCTAAGTTTACAGTATGCCAACATAAGTTAGAGTCTGATAAGAGAATATTTTCATGCAAGCGTAATATAAGATTTTTGGTTGTATTTGTCTTATCAGTCCTATATATCTGGCAAGTTCTTGGCTTTAAAAATTGGTGACTTCATAAGCAACAATAGGAAGAAAGGGTATTTATACAAATACTTACCAAAATAAGAGAGAAAAGAGCTAAGATAGCACAAGGGGACTTCATGTCTACAAATACTATACAAAAGAGTTCTTTGTAGTTGTATTTTTGAAGGATATGTAACCTCGCTACTTATAGATAATTTACTACAACGAAAGCATCAAGGCAGGCAGCACCCAATTATGGGCCCTTTATTTTTTATTTTTTTGGTGTGAAATTTTGATAATAAAACTTGGAACAAATCTGGGGCGAATCTAATTATGGGCCCTGGATCTTTGGAAGGTTTCTAAATAGATATGTTTTTCTATGTAGCCCAGATATGTTTTTCTATGTAGCCCATGTTTGTGTGTTATTTTTTTATTTATGGTACAACGATATTAGGATAGGAGAGAATTAAACTTTAGGATCTCAAATGTAAAAGTAAATATTCTCAATCACTTGAGCTACAAATAAATCTCACACATAAATTTGTGTGTATGATATGACTCGACATATGTTCTTGGGGTCCAATAATTAGTTCCACGAGGCTTTTTAGGATTATTATTCTTGACCGATTCTTAATGGCATTAATCCAAAACATCCATTTCAATGTCCACATAGCTTTACCATAAAAAATGTAAACATGTTTAACACTTGCATGCATGGACGACCAATAATGCAATAAGCATTTTATATGTGACATGATTATGGACATATATTCATTATGACTAATATCGGACAAGATCCTCTGCGGGTTGTTGTTGACAAAGGATTTGGTCTACTAATCCAATTATAAATAACTCTTACTTTGTACGATTACTCATATTATAATATTTTATGAGGTAATTATCTTTTTCTTTTATTTCTTTTATATCATTCTTTTTCTTCAATGTAATTTGATATCGGAAACGCCTATTTTCTAGGGCGTTTTTTAAAAATGAAATCTTGATCAATGAAAGAAGATATTCACAATTGAAATTTTAGGATGAAATATCTTTTTCTACTAAAACTGTAAAATAATAATAATAATTTAGGACAGTCCAACCATAATACAAAAAATTTCAGTTATGAATGACCCCCAACCCGTCAACTTATATGTGCTGTCTGATTTATTTCCTAAATTTTAAGCAAATGAGACATTATAACATCCTCAAATGAAAATATGATGGTTGGACCATCCTAAAATTTGTTACAATTTTTATTATTATTTAAAAAAAGTGATAATTGTATTCAATATTTGGCTACAAAGACCAAATACCCGTAAAGAGTTAATACAAAAATAGATGTACAGTAACCATAAAGGCTTAATCTAAATATAAGAGGATACACCGACGAATTCTCATGACTTGTATCTGCACTAATAATTCTAAAGACCAAATACATTTTAACGTAACAATCACACACCTTAACAAATCAAACATGGAATACATCACCCCAAAATTATAAATATAACTACAATTTTATATCTATGAGCTCCAGTAAGATCGTCCACTAATATTTCACAGTTTGATTATTATACTTAGAAGAAATCAGGGGTGAATCTAAATATGGGCCCTAGATTTTTGGAATAAAATAGATATGATTTTTTCTATTACTAAATCTCACACGTATTGTGCATGTGAGATGACTCCATATATGTTTAGAGCTAAAGTTTTTAATTTAGTTATGTCTAATTTGTCTTAGACGATATTTTAACTTAAATTATAAGTTTTTTTAATTATAAATTCTATATGTTATATATAATATAATAGAGGAGAGATCAAAATCTATGGAGACCAGGACAACTTCAAGCTTAAAAGTAGCTCCGTCACTGCTGTTAACCACTTGAAGATAACTTTCACGCTTAAATTTGTGCATTGATATCACTCGACATATGTTCTTGGGCTCCAATAATTAGATCAACGAGGCTTTATCAGATAACTAGGAATATATTATTCTCCACTGATTCTTAATGGCATTAATCCAAAACATCCACTTACCATAAAAAAATGTAAACATGTTTAACACATGCATGCATGGAGTTCTACTTGTAAATAATTTCTTTTTCTTTTTGGACGTCCAATAATGCAATTAGCATTTTATATATGACAAGTGAAAACTAAGTTGCATGATTATGGACATATATTCATTATGACTAATATCGGACAAGATCCTCTGCCGGTCGTTGTTGACAAAGGATTCGGTCTACTAATCCAATCATGAATAACTCTTAAGTTGTACGATTACTCATATTATAATATTTTATGAGGCAATTATATTTTTCTTTTATGTCGTTCTTATTCTACAATGTAATTTGATAATTAGAAACACCTATTTCTTAGACCGCTTTTTAAAAATGAAATCGGGATCAATGAAAGAAGATATTCACAAAACTGAAATTTTAGGACGAAATATCTTTTTCTACTAAAACTGTAACAAATGTTAGGACGGTCCAACCATAATACAAAAAAATTCAATTATGAATGACCCCCAACCCGTCAACTTATCTGTGTTGTCTAATTTGCTTCCTAAATTTTAAGCAACCCAAAAAAACCTCAAATGAAAATATGATGGTTGGACCATTCTAAAATTTGTTACAGTTTTTATTATTATTTAAAATTAGCAATAATTGTATTTAATATTTGGGCACAAAGACCAAATATCCATAAAATATTAATACAAAGATGGATGCACAGTAACCACAAAGGGTTAATCTTGATATAGGAGGATACATCGGCGACATTGCACGGTCTGTATCTCCACTAATAGCCCTAAAGACCAAATACATTTTAACTTAACAGTCACACAATTTAGCAAATTATTACAACTACAATTTTATATCAATGAGCTCAAGTAAAGATCATCTACTAATATTTCACTATTATATTTAGAAGAGATCAAGGGCGTATCTAAATATGGGCCCTATATTTTTGGAAGATTTCTAAAATAGATATGATTTTTTTCTATTAATAAATCTATGTGACATGATTCCACATATGTTCTTGGGCTCCAATAATTTTCTGATAATAATTAGGAAGATGACTTAATGGCAATAATCCAAAGGGAGTTTCACTAAAACACCCAAAATGGAGGTTGAAATTATAAAAAAACCCAACACCCAAAACACTTTATAAACACACCCAAAACCCATCATTATACACACTCAAAACCCATTTATAAACACACCCAAAAAGTTGACTTTGGGGTTGATTTTGGGTGTGTTTCTATGTTTAAATAGTGCTTGAATTTTTTTATAAATACATGTCTAGGATTGGGTTTATTTATAAATTTGTATAATCGAAAACTATCCACTTCAATGTCCACATATGTTTCACACTTGCATGGGGCTCCAACAAAAATGTTCATATGTTTCACACTTGCATGGGGCTCTACTTGTAAATAATTTCTTGTTTCTTTTGGGACCTCCAATAATGCAATAAAATAAGCATTCTATATTTGACAAGTATCGGCAAGATCCTTTGAGGGTAATTGTTGACAAAGGATATTTGGTCTGTTTATCCTATCATAACTCATACGTTGTACCATTGTAGTTTGATAACCGGAATCTTCTATCTTTTAGGCCACCGTTTAAACTCCAAAAATATAAACAAAAGCGGAACTTGCTTAGTTACCTAATTGTTATTAAATAAATAGACAAATTTAATGTTTTGATTAAACAATGAATTATCATGCTTTAATTAAATGACTAACCGATATCTAGTTTGGTTGATTTTTTATTTTTATTTTGTAGGAATGATTGTTGAATGATGATTTAGAAAATTAATTTAATTAAAGAAATAATTGTGGAAATACTATAACTAGAGCTTATTTTCTTTCTTTTTCTTTTTTAACAGAATTGTGTACTTCAAATTTTTTTACACCAATCCTATACTTCATCAATGGCTGCTTATATAGATTTTCGTTTTTATAATTTTTTTTATATGTGTTCTTCATTATAAGAAAATTATTTATTTTTCAATAAATTCAAGATTAGCAAATTAATTGCAATGTAAAAAATTTGAATCACTCATTCCATGTTGGAAAAATAAGAAGGTAAAATTAAAATCCTAAACATTATTGAGTTATTCAGGTGGGTTCTATTATTACTTATCTTATTCTACAGCAGAGAAGAATCAAATCTTGAAGGTTGCCGACATTTTGTTTGTGTGTAGATAAATGCTGACTCTGCTTGTCTCTATATGGCCTGTTTGGTTCATGGAAAAGGAGGTTTGTGGATGAGAAATTAATTGCTTACTCATATTTAGTAAGTCCAGGCATGAGAAATAGTTGCCTAGTACATGAGAAAGTAAGGGGGAAAGTGAAGCCCTCCTCTCAACTTGAGTTTTGTTTTCCCTCTTCATGGGAAAGTTTGGAAAAATGAGTCAACATTCAATGCACATTTTTCATGACCATTTTGTCCCCATTAACAATTAGAATTACAATGTATCATTAAATGCTTTTTTTTTTTTTTTGATTTAATATGGGTATAATTGGAAAATTATACCAACTTTATTTCTCATTCCTACTCAAAACAAACATAGGAAATGAAAAAAAGTGAAATCTCTCGGTTCCTTTCTCAGCATTATCTTAAACGTGAGAAAAGAATCTTTCATTTCTCATTCATTGGGAAATAACATGAGAAGTAATTTTCTTTTAAATCCGTTCTGTGAACCAAACGGAGCCTTAGACTTTGTAGTGAAATGCTACATCATTAAGAAAAGCCCAAAAGGCCCAAAGACCCAAAGACCCCACACATGAAAAGCATGGATCTTTAGAATTTACACTTGGAATAAGAATAATAATAATAATAATAATAATAATAATAATAATAATGACAACAAGACAAACTAAAGAGACAAGAACAAGAGGATGGCCAATAGGCCCAACACCTGCAAGTCAAAAGATAAGCCTTAGGCTTTGTAGTGAAATGTTACATCATTAAGGAAAGCCCAAAAGGCCCAAAGGCCCAAAGACCCCACACATGAAAAGCATGGATCTTCAGAATTTACACTTGGAATAATAATAATAATAATAATAATGACAACAAGACAAACTAAAGAGACAAGAACAAGTGGATGGCCAATAGGCCCAACACCTGCAAGTCAAAAGATGCATTATAGAGCTACAGCTGCTCACCTTTGGTCAATAAATGAGTTTTTAATTCACTGGTTTAAATTTTAGTTTTTCCTAGGGAAATAATTCATTTGAGAAATAGCTTTTCTATGTCTAGATAGTCAAAGATTAGAACTTTATATATCTTTGTGGCTCTTTCAAAATTACTAGATGAACAAAATGGCAAGGACTTTTAACAAGGGAAGAAACATGCCTTCAGGACTTGCTCTTTGGAGCCCCTTACTTCATCTACTTGTTCTTGTTATGGTAACTTCAATTTTTTCCCACTCTACATATTCTTATCATGTAATTGAGAGAAATTTGATGATGCTGCAGCATAGGAATCTCTAGTTCTAATAACTGTTAGTTTTTTCTTTTGGTTTCTGTTCAAATATTGTGCAGTGTGTTCAAGGAACTGGAGGCAGGAAGATGAGTGGAACACAAGATGGTGATGGCCATGAAACAACACATACAGAGCATGCTCATGATCATCATCCATCATCCCACATGCATCATCACATGGACCCTTCAGTTATGATTTTCTTCACCTTGGAGGATCTAAAGGAGGGCAAAACCATGGCCATTTATTTTCCCAAAAGAAACCCTTCAAAATCCCCCCACTTGTTACCAAGAGAAGAAGCTGATCAAATTCCTTTCTCATCAAAAGAACTGCTCCACCTCCTTCACTTCTTCTCCTTCTCTCAAGACTCTCCCCAAGCCAAGGCCATGGAAGACACTCTCAGGGAGTGTGAGATTGAACCCATCAAGGGAGAGATCAAGTCCTGTGCTACTTCGCTAGAATCCATGCTTGACTTCACACGTGGCGTCTTCGGATTGGAATCCCCTTTCGGTGTTGTAGCCACAACCCATCTCACAAATTCAACTACCAATTTCCAGAACTACACTATTTTGGAAGAGCCTAAGGAGATTTTGGCTCCCAAGATGGTGGCTTGCCACACTATGCCTTACCCTTATGCAATTTTCTACTGCCATAGCCAGCAAAGTGCGAACAAGGTTTTCAAGGTTTTGTTGGGTGGTGAGGATGGAGATAGGGTAGAAGCTGTTGCTGTTTGTCACTTGGACACCTCTCAATGGAGCCCTAATCATGCATCTTTCAGTGTGCTTAGGACTAAGCCAGGGGCTTCTGCTGGTGTCATTTCTGTCCTGCTGATAATCTTGTGTGGGTTCCAGCATCCACTTCAATGTAGTAATTTTAATGCAGGGCCAGTGTTTGAACCATAATATAAAAGGTCAAGCTTCTTCGGAAGCTTTTGATTTTCCACTGAAATTCCTGGAACTGAAGTTTTAATGACCAGATTGTTGATTCTTGAAGAAAAAATACTATCATAAAAGAAATATTAATCAACCAAACAGGTTTACAAAAGGCTGCAAATTAGCTGTCTGATTAGGCTATAAATTCTTATGTTTACAATGAAAAAGTACAATTTTGAAAATAGAAAAAGATTCCTTAATGGAATATGAAACGACTTAAAAAATTTCTATGCATGAAGCAACAGAAACCTTTTGGTGAAAATTTGAGATCTAAATTTCTATGCATGAGGCATCAGCAACCTTGGTGAGCAATCTGAGTCGAGTCCTATCTGTTCTGTATTAGTATACATATACTGTAGCTCAAGTGAGCTACAAGTGATTAACATCGTATTTACTCTTATGGTCCGAATAATTAAGATCATATTTAGTCTTAAGTTCGATTCGTTTTGATTCCTTCAACTCAAGTGATTATGAACATTTACTCCTTCAACTCAAGTGATTATGAACATTTTACTCTTACAATTATCTATTTGATTCCTCTCTTTTCATAATGATCGCATTCACCTTTTTTCTAATATCGTTTTGATGATAAAAAAAGAGAAAACAAATAGCTTGTGTGATGTCAGTGTGGTGGTACAATATACTGTACTAGGCCTGTTCTGTTCTGTACTGTACTGTTGTACAATGTTTATCAAGTGCAGAAAAAGTCATGTTGCCATTCTATTAAAATGATGGAAAGCGTGACGGATTTGAGATACCATCATAGTCCATTACATAGATTTGAGATACCGTAATAGTCCACTACATGTAAATTCTTCTCCAAATCAAGATAAAACGTGACAGCACGATTACCTATGCTTGTTAAATTTAGTGAGCAACAATTTACTATGCAATGCAGTCAAAAACTGAAAAATGGCAACCATGCACATGTTTTCAACATTTTAGGCTGTGCCCTGGTGTGAGCAAATGGCAACCATGCGTAGAAGAACTGCTTCTTTACTCTCTGAATCTGCTTAAATTTGGAAGCATGCATTTGAATTGATTGAACAAATGGCAACCATGCACAAAAGAATTGCTTGTTTTCCTTGTGACACTGCAGAAATGTTTCCGTACCTTTGGAAGCATGCATTTGAATTGTTTGAACAAATGGCAACCATGCACAAAAGAATTGCTTGTTTTCCTTGTGACAATGCAGAAATGTTTCTGTATCTTTGGAAGCATGCATTTGAATTGTTTGAACAAATGGCAACCATGCACAAAAGAATTGCTTATTTTCCTTGTGACGCTGCAGAAATGGTTGTGTATTTGGAAGCATGCATTTGAATTGATTGAACATTGAAAATGGAGCAGCTTTTGTTGACCAAGTCTCAAAGGTGCAGGGCAGAGCACTAAAAACCTAGCACTTCCAAATTCCAACCCCGCCTTACTTCCTCTCACTTGTTATGTTAAACAAAAATATTTCTGTCAATGCAGGCGCTCATCATGCTTTGCTTCTTAGTATTTGACTCAAGCTTTCTCAAGAGATTAAATGTTGAATTTTACATGGCTTGGCTTTGTTCACTTTATCCACCAAGAAATCTGTAAACCAGAGGTTGTCATTAGATGTTTATATTTGGAATTTCATCTGCAGAAAGAACAGATTAAATTTCCATCTGCAAAAGTCACTTCTGCTTCTCTGTTCTTGATCGCTCTCATATGGATGATCTAGTGGTGGTTGATTTATTTCAAACTAAAAAAAGAAATAAAGATTTTACTCTGAAACTATCCAAAATATTCATTAGAAATCAATCCAGTAATTCCACCATTAATTATGCATGTTTCACACACTTCATGTATATAAACATTCAATTATCACTACCTTGGCAACATGGAAACATAACCATAATTGAAAACTGAGAAATCCCAACACCCAAGCACAAAACACTACTAAATATAGTACAAACATAAGAGCTAGCTCCTCTGTTTCAAACTTGTTCTAACAGAAAACATGGAATATATTCCTGATCTTCCTGAATATCTGATTCTTCAGCCATGGGTGACTGTTTCAATATAAGAAGTTTCTTCTTTGGGCTCCATATCATGCATGGGCTTGTCTTCTGCAGACTGCTGCTGCTGATGATGATGATGATGAGCTCCATGGTAAAATATAGCATTAGGCCTAATGCCAAAGTCCCTAACAAAATGGTCTTTTTCTCTTGAACCAGCGAGAGATGGCAAATGATCTTCATGATCTTCATGATCTTGATGGAAATAGAGGTCTCTGATGGCTTCTGGAATTGGCTGGTCATTCATCACACTCTTCCAGTAGCCTCCCAAGTCTTTTCTTGCATTGCTCTGCTGGGAAAGCTATATATGTTCCATGAAAAAGGGTTAGATGATGAAAATTGAATCAAAGTTACAATAATTTCTTAAATTTTGATAAAAGGAATTCAATTAAATATGAAAAACTATGTGACTAAAAGCTGTTTGAGAAATGCTTACCAAGAGAATGGAGGACAGAATTAGAAGAAGGCAAGAGATAGAGAACTTCATATGGCTAGCTCAAGAGAACACACTTACTCTAAATGATCAGCTCTCTCTCTGCTCTGAGTCCCTTTATAGGCAGCTATGCATGCCGTCTGTCAAACACATTTATGCAATTTAGCAGAACCTGTGACCCTGCAATGAAAAAAAACCCCTTTTAAGTAATGCTGGCATGGGGTTTGGACTGTTCCAAATTTGTCATATGGGGTTAAATTGCAACTGGTGCAACAATTGCTGGTGTGAGCCTTCTAGACACGGTTGTCAGCTGTTGATCTAAGGTAGTGAAAAACTTCCATATATATATATATTTATGTCTATCTATCTCGTCACATGATTAATGTTTGATATATAATAAAAGAGATAAATACCGAAGCGTTACCTGACCGTCTTCGAACTTTGATGATGTGAGCTTTCATTTCAAGTGTGAATCCCACATATATCAATGAAGCTTACAAGATTAAAACACTCACGAGTAACCAAAAGAAAACATAAAAAGTGTCCAACACTTTTGACCAAATAGAGATGACAATTTAGCTTAGGTTGGAGGGGACTTAATTACCAAAAAAAAATTTGACTTGTGAAACAAAATCCAGGTGGGTTTCATGGAATATTCCTCTAGAGTTGAATTTGAAAATTACAAGTTGATCAAATTTTGAGAGCAACTGGAATTGATAGCACTTATTCCATCTTATCTCATTACAAAATGTTGATCAAAGTTCAATTAAAGGTCAGAGCACGCAACTTCCCCCCTTTAGATTACTGCAAAGATTATTTTAATTTTTGGGTTGTTAATTGGGTGACATAACAGGTTCTAGATTTTGTATGACAGGGTGTACTTGGTAGCAAAAAGTCCTATGCTGTCAAAAGTTGTATAAAAATATAGAATAAAAAAAAGAATGAAAATACTTGCGTATTCCTTCTATAGAAGTAAGAACTCCTATTTTCCTGTCAATCACAGTTTGACATGTGTGCATATATTTTTCTTTTTATGCTTTTGATTGAATTATTTTTCATATGTATCAAACTGTAATTTGCAGAAAGTAGAAATGGTTCCTTTCTGGGAAGGAGGGAAGCAGTTTCTAAAAAAGAGAAAGTGGACTTTGCAGTACAATTTTGTTTATCACTAGTGGCTTATAAACTATGTGCGTGATCAATGCTGACCTGCTTTTGCTATGAATATACACAACAAACTTTTGTAAACAAACAATACTTCTTCTGCTATACAAACACAAAGCACAACTCTTGAAATCTTGTAATTCTACATAAAAAGGAAAATTAGAAAAGTAAATGCAAAGTTGAGAATGATAAGGTTTGAGTTTAGCCAATTCATCATCTGCAACAATATTGGCTTGGCTTCACAATAGGTAGGATGAAATTGTACGTCCCAAGAAGTGGATGATTACTATTAAAGGTATATATCATAAGTCGAGTTTCATATAAATTAAATTTCTATACGAGAGATATGATGAGTGGTGTTGTCAGTAAGTACGATGCACACTGCTTATTTAAAATTTATTTTGCTCGCTTAGTATACTCGTTGTCTTTTCTTCGTTTTACCTAACAAGAGAGACTAAACCTTGATTATAAATAAAAAATAAAAAAGAGAGAGAGAGACTAAACAAGTTCTAGAAGAAAAGTAGAAGAGGGACAAAAGAGAGGAGGGTTGCCATTCAGATATTCTAGATGCAGATGCACATATGATAAACAAAGATATACAAGCAGCACAATTCTGACATGCAAAATACTAATTTGTATATGTTTCGTGCAAATATGTTAACAATCAAAACTCCCAAAGGAAAATACTGATCCACGGAAACTATTAGGGCTAACAAAATATCCAAAGTTGACCTAAATACAGCTCCTTATATAAGAAAACTCATGTGGTATAATGTCCGAAGGGGTCAAGATTGTGAATAACTTAGTTTGGTGGGATATTTTGCAAATTCTTCCATAAAAATACTAGGAATCTCTTTAAATTTTCAATGAAGCAGGTGTAGGCCGGGGCTAAGACCACTTCAGGGCTGCATGTAGCTAGCTAGGGACGGCAAAACAAGCAAGCAAATTAATCTATTTGGCTAATTATACAACATGCTATTAGGCTAGGTTATGCTTTTGTATATTTAGAGTTTTAATTTTTAAGTTTTAAGTAATGAATTAGCGCTATTAGCTATTGGCTCCACTCGAGAGGGAGGGTTCAAAATTGATCTTCAAAAATCCACCTTATAAAAGGTCAAAATAAAGCTCGTTTTATTATATACAGAGGAAAAATTAGGACCGGCACTAATAAGTTTTATTATGTAAGTACATTATGTATTTGATGATCTCACAAATAATTTTATTAAAATCAGACGTAATGAGTCCAATGTACATGTGACAAAAGAGAGAAAGTCATATTATCGATTTCTTATTTGTGTTTCTTTTTTAATGGATTTGACTCTCTTGGATATCAAAAAAAATTTATTGGTCATATGTTTCAAATGAACCATTGAGAAT